GTAAAAATAAATTTAATATTTATTTAACTTTTTTCCTTATGGATATATCACTGGGGCCTTACAGTATTTGTAGCCCAGGGGCCTACAAAATCTTAATCCGGCTCTGTTTATAGCGTGTGTTATAGAGGTTGTTAAGTTTAAATTAACTGTGGAAATTCTGTGTATTACAAAAAAGTTGTATCGAAGAAGAATAAGCTGCATTAATTAAGAAAGAACTTGTATGGCTAAAGTTTCTCGGAAAGAATTTATACCGGAAATTAACAAACAAGTAGATACGCAACTGTTCATCTGTACAATTTGATTCAGGAAATCAAAGAATTACAATTAGACCACCTACAATGGTGATGTTTATATAATACAAGGTAGTCCAAAATTATCTTTCCCATTTTAAAATTAAATAATTAACTAACTAAAGAAATCCAACTATGCAGTGTTCAACATCTTGTAGCCCAATTCAAGCAGTTTTTATTGACATATCAGTAAACGTCTACGTATGCACCATTAGTGGCCTGGAGTGAAAAAACAAACAAAAAATGACTAAAAAAAAACTTATTGGGTTGGGATATAAGATGTTAAAAACTTATACAGTTGTATTTCCTTAATTGTTGAATTTTAAAATATGAAAGATAATTTAATCCACCCTGAATTTATGGGATTTTTGAGTTTTTTTAAACTCAGTTTGCAGTACCTGTTCTCTAGAGGGCAGTAGTAGTACATCAATTTGCCTAAAATTATTATGTGTATAGTCGGCCTGTACAGGTTTGATTTGTAATATAATTAATTTCATTTTTTATTTGACTTACTTAAAGATGAAAGAAGGAGGAGAATCTATTAGGTAACAACTCAGGACTGTAGTTTTAGTGTTGAAATATTTACGTAAGGTGATGGAAAAGCTATAATAGATAGTAGTATCATGCCACACGTGATATTGATAATGAGGCCGTATTTTTCATAACTTGGTCAGGATGTGTAGCGAAGAATCGCACCACGTGTCGTACTCGTAGTTAGTATTTTAATTACGAAGTTCAGACTCAAAAAAGCATCACTTTTTGAGGTGCTTTTCTGGTAATTTGAAGGATGCAGAAGTCTACACCAGACAAGGCAGAAGAGATGAAAACATTTAAAATATATTAATCTTAAGTATTATTATTAGGCATTACCACATATGTTAATTGTTTAGTTAGGCTCTAGGTAAGAGTAAAAAATATAGACAAACGAATCACATAATGGCGTTGGATATGAAAGTTAGAATAATTGACTTTTGTATCTGTAAGGCCACCATGTATAGAATTATAAGAAGTATTGTCTTCTTGTATTTTGTTTTTTAAACTATTAAAAGTAAACAGCGACTTTATTGAGAAATTGTGGGATGTAGTTTATGAAAACATGGATGCAAGTCTTATGAAATGCTTCAACTTAATCCTAAGAGTAAGAGGTTTTAGCTGTGATCCCTATCTTTCAAGTTCAATACCTGAGAGAAGAGAAACTTTGCTTTTTATGAAGGGTAGGAGAGACATGATTTAAGTATTATTTTCACTTATGGCAAAGGTATATTTACAACTAGTGTAACTGTCTATAACTTAAGAGTTCAGAAAAATTAAGTTCACAAAAAGGATTCTTTGATTAAAGTTTCCAAACTTAGGCTCTTTAAGGGTAAGATCAATGACCTCTTGAACTCTATCATTAAGTCTTTTATAATAATAAGTTACATAGTAAGGATACAGTTTGTGTATTTAAGTTATTATTCATACATTGTTAAACTTTAATAACATTTTTGTGATTGTAAAGATGTAATGACACACTTTTGCTGTAGATTGTACATGAACTTTATGGTAAAACAAACTATTGGTAACCAAATTCTTTACTAGAAGTAGAAAGTAACAATATATGTAATAGGAATTCTCTGAATTCTTGGTTAGAGGGAGAAACCAAAGAGCAGAAGTCATTTCTTTGTTGTGGACTATACTTGCTTTATTTTGAAGTATTGTGATCATAATTAACAGGGTTAAGGAAACTAGTACTTATTACTACATGTGTATAATCTTTGTTATGTTTTTTTTAGAATTGTACATCAATCATAGTGACATTTTTTGTACATTTTCAGTATGTTATCAAATACTGTTAGCAAAGAAGAAGAAGAAGACTATGAAGATATTAGTGCTAGTGAAGATGAGGTAAAAGATAACTCTTGGGACTTTCAGCCAACAGTTCAGAAAACTAACTATAAGATGTTTAAAATAATATTCTTAAAATACTCTTTTTAACTTGGATTTATTAAAATATATGGTGAAACATTAAATAACACAAAATACTTATTTTTGTTTTGAATGAGAGCAGCCACTAGATGTATCACTTGGCTTTCAAATTGATTTTCATTTAGTGTCACAAACAATTTATTACCACGTTGAAGGCTTATGAAAATAGATGAATAACTAAATACTGGATATAAATTTATGTTAGAAATCAGAGTGGTGAGATTAAATGAACATTTGTTGATTGAATGTGATAAGTGAAGTTGTAATAAATACAATTGATAAAAATTGTGCTTTCAAAGAGTGGACCGGTCTTCTTCTTTGGAATGAATCACGAGTCCATTTGAAATATTTATTTTGTGTTAATGACTTGGATACTTATAATAAAAGCTTAATGTTTAGAATTTTATCTCATTATTTTATATAAATTATTAATACAGTATAATGTAAGTATGGAATAAGTTTTCTTCACAATAGTTTGTTACAAAATTCTTGAATCTTAGTTTATGAAGTTAATGCTCTTGTCTACCTTTTACATTACCTGGTGTGTTTCTCTTATAGAAAAATATCAGTAATTAGAAATACTTTGGTTTTAACTCAACTCCTTTAGTATGTAAATATATATATATATGTTTATGTTCAAAACAAAGACATTACTTAAAGTTTTATAAGAAAACTTCAAATGAAATTTATATCTTTGTTTTTAATTTTTCTCATTTTGGTTGAAGGAAAATGATGAAAGAAAACATACCAAGTTGTTGGAAGCCATTGGATCATTAGATGGAAAAAAGAGGTAAGCACAAATGTTTTTCTATTTTATGGAACTTAAAAAGTTTGAATCCAATGAGTTGAATGTTTGAACAAGTCATGTGTCATTTAGACAGAAAATATACTCTTTTAAAATATAGTTACTTAAAAGTCTTAATTTTTTTTCTATCTCCAGTTTTAACTGAAAGTTAAATTTGTATAGTTTTTGAATACTTAATACTTATGAAATTGAAACGTTTTCCTTCACTTTTGCTTGGGTTAACATCATGGTTAATTATTAAGGCTTTGATAGACAGACTTGTATTATTGTAACAAGGTTCAGTTTATATGAACATTTTCTGGCAATCATACATATCAGTGTACATAATTTTAGGCTTTAAGCTTAGGTAATCTGTACTATGTTTTTTATTCAATATCGGTTGAAATCCCTAAGTATAACTCTTGAAAATAATATATTATTATTACATTTTTATCTTACCCTCATATCCTCTGTTTTTATATTACCTACTAATTCTGTTGTTAACATTGACAACATCTAAAGATTTAAATTTTTTGTTGTTCAAAGTTGAGAAAAGTAACATTATCCTTTCACTTTCTGTTAACTTTTTCAGCATGGGCTCGGTCCCTGAGACTGACCTCATAACCATTTTGTGCTTGTTATAGTTTTCATGCTATAACTTTTAAATTAGTAAGCAGATTATGAGTAAAGATTACAATGCTTTCATACACAATATATCACATTTTTTTCTATTAAGTCTTAAGGTTTGTAAAGTAATGTTTTTCTCATGCCTTTTTCTCATTTTAAGATATTTTATGCATCAGAAAATTTTCAGATTTCACATGCAAAAACTTTATAATGTCCAGATCAAACATATCTTAGGAAAAAACTAAATATTTTATCTGTTATTTTCAGTAATGAATCTCTGTTGGTTTGGTAGATTTGGTCAATCTTGTAACCACCATAAAAAATTATGAAACAAATATAAATTATGCCTCTTTCATTCTAGAATGACAACAAATTATAACATGAAAGCATAACTGTTTAGACTAAATAGCTTAAATCTCATAGCATTATACATTTATATATATTTATTTTTATTATATTGACATTTCACCGTGCCTGGCTAACAATGCAGAAGTTACAATGATGCGGCACATACGCACTCATGTTACCGTATCTAATAATATAAAACTGACCTTTAGTATCTACAATGTGATCTACCTGCTTTGACTGTGTTTAAGTAGACTAGTAATTTGTAAAATAGTCACATTTCAATTATTATACATTATATAGATTATTGCTGTTTAGAAATAACTTCTTAAACTTATTTTTCTTACACATAGAACAATAACTAAAGAAGTAAAGCAAACAATTATCTCTTCTAGTTATGACGTTTGTACTTGGTTGCTGCTTGACGTAGGTTGCTAAGCCTTTAAAAATTTTGCACGTGGAGGATATGAAACAAAATATTTTTTTTAGGTTTTATATACACAGTTGAATTACCAAAATATCATAAATTACTATATCAGTATCATATAATTCCACTATAAATTATCAAGCTTGGTAACTAAAATGTATTTTAGTCTCAAAAATATGAAAATTTTGAGCAGACTAAAGACACAGCCTACCTCATTGAAATCATGGGTCGAAAAAAGAGATGGCATCCAAATAAGAATTGGTACCAAGTCCATTAAAATGGTTAAGAAAGCCACTAGGGGGCATTCTGAGCTTCCATTTGGTTATTCGTGTTATATATAGAAGTAAGTATACTTAAGGGAGCTTTTCCAAAAATGGAAAGAGGTGGATGGGGTCCCACTGTGTTTGATTTATTACATGAGCAATATCTTGGCAAATAGAAAAGATAAGAGGCTCTTATTTTATATTCT